TGGGCGACACACAGTGGGCGCAGGCCAGGCCTCTTGCTTTCTCAGTTCCTCAAAATACTACTCATTTTTCCAGGCCAGCTCAGTGGCACCTCTGCTGGCAGCCCTGGCAGAGCTGATGCCTCCGCTGGGCTCAAGGAGCCCCTTGTCAGATGTTTGTGGGGTGTGCGCACTGGGTTGAGAACACGGTGCCTGACTTCCTGATGGTCTGGTCACCTGGCACATGGGGGCAGCTCTCTGCTCAGACCCTGGCCACAGGCAGGCCGCTAAGGTGCCCACAGGGCAGTGCGTGAGGGCTGGGCAAGGGCAGAGCCCCCTGGGGGAGGCCGCTGGGCTTCCAGGCAACCTGGAGCCAGAGTGGGTCCCGGGGAAGAAGCACGTCCAGGAAGCACAGGGTGAGCTCCGCAGGTTTGTGTGTTGATGGAGTTTCCTGCTCATTGCAGCTATTCTCTTTCCATTGCAGGCTGAGGCTCTATTAGAATAAAAGAGGATCCCCTAGTCCATAGCAAGTACAAAAATAAAAATAATAATGATAAATAAACAAAATACAAGATGAAGCTGGACTTGGTGGTGTGCACCTGTAGTTCCAGCTATATGGGAGACTGAGGTGGGAGGGATCACTTGAGCCTGGGAGGTTGAGGCTGCAGTGAGCTCTGATTGTGCCACTGCACTCCAGCCTGGACAACATAGCAAGACCTTGTTTCTAAAAAAATAATAATAAATTCTGTTATTTATCACCCTGTAGGGATTCACTGAAAAAAAAAAAAAAAGAATACGAGAGGAACAGGACTGAGGCTTTTTCTAGTGAGGTGGCAAAATCCACACTGATGTTCAGAGATGTGTTGTCTGCCCGCCATTCCTATTGCTTTATGAATTTTGTTACTTTTTTGTTTGTTTGTTTTTGTTTTTATTTTTTGAGACAGAGTCTCGCTCTGTCACCCAGGCTGGAGTGCAATGGTGTGATCTTGGCTCACTGCAAACTCTGTCTCCTGGGTTCGAGTGATTCTCCTGCCTCAGCCTCCGGAGTTGCTTGGATTACAGGCGTCCGCCACCACTGGTGTCCAGCTAAGTTTTGTATTTTTAGTAGAGACAAGGTTTTACCATGTTGGCCAGGCTGGTCTCAAACTCCTGACCTCAAATGATCCGCCTGCCTTGGCCTCCCAAAGTGCTGGGATTATAGGCATGAGCCACCGCTCCAGGCATGTTGTTGTTTTTTTAATTATGGAAAACTTTTAACATTTCCAGAAATAAAGAGAGTAGTAGAATGAGCAGAGGCCACCACTGTGCAGTTGTTTCATCTCTCCCCGCCTGCTTCCCCTACCGCCAGTATGATTACGAAGGAAATGCCAGAGAGCAAATCATTTCATCCATAAACACGTAGATGAACGTTTCTACAAGTACTCTCGGCCAGGCTCAGTGGCTCACGCCTGTAATCCCAGCACTTCGGGAGGCCAAGATGGGTGGATTACTTGTGGTCAGGAGTTTGAGACCAGCCTGGACAACATGGCAAAACCCCATCTCTACTAAAAATACAAAAATTAGCTGGGCGTGGTGGTGGATGCCTGTAATCACAGCTACTCGGGAGGCTGAGGCAGGAGAATGGCTTGAACCCGGGAGACAGAGGTTGCAGTGAGCCGAGACTGTGCCACTACACTTCAGCCTGGGCAACAGAACGAGACTCCATCCAAAAAAAAAAAGGACTCTCAAAATATTTACTTCTAATAATTAATTCCTGCATGTGGATAGCATTTTGGATGTCACTTTTCAGCACATTGCATCAGGTAACCAGAAAGAAGTGGAGAGACTTCTGAGCCAAGAGGACCACGATAAAGATGCTGTCCAAAAGATGTGTCACCCTCTCTGCTTCTGCGATGACTGCGAGAAACTCGTCTCTGGGTAAGAGGGTGCTGGTGGAGGCTCAGTGTGCCAGGAAGCAGGAGACAGGAGGCCTCCTGGACCTTCTCCACTGTGCGCTGTGTGACTGCAGATAAGGACTGTCCTCCTTTCCCCCCAGCTGCCTCTGCTGTACAGTGGAGATGATAATAGCTGCCCCTTTGGAGAATCGGATAGGTTGGAGGTTGTCAAAGCACTGCTCACCGGCGGACTGGCCGCCCCGGTAGGCTGGTTACAGGGCCTGCCCCAGCCTCAGAAAGGAGGTTTTAGGATGGGAGGAATGTCAGTTGTTCCCAGTAAGATTTTTGGTTTCTCATTATCCTTGTCAGGCTATTTTGCTGGGTGTAGAGGCCTAAAGGGTTGGTGGGGGAGAGACTCCAGGGCCAGGTACCTCTGTTCCTCACGCCAGGTGAGCCCTGGGACAGTCCCGGAGACACACATCTTGCGGGGCATCCTGTGGACCGCCTTCTCTCCGTGGCACCTGCCTATCTACCTGGTCAGGGAGAGGCTTTGCTGTGCCCTTCCCCTGTGTAGTTTTCTGTCTCTTTCTGTATTCTAGGAGGTTGAATGATCCCTCAGTTGTCACTCCATTCTCCAGAGACGACAGGGGGCACACCCCTCTCCATGTGGCTGCTCTCTGTGGTATGTGGTCCTGGGCTGGCCCCTAGGGGCTGTCACAGCAAAGGGATGGTGCCCAAGGTGACCCAGCAGAGAGGCCTGGCTGATGGGCTGGGGGTTGGCAGTTGGGGCTGCGTCATGGGTCCGCCCTCCAAGGGCCGGAAGGAGAAGAGGAGCAAATGTTCCACAGGCCTCGACGGCCAGCCTGCTGCCTCCTGTGCTGGGTGAACCCCCCTGCGTGGTTCCCACAGCGTGGAAACACTGCCTAATGCTGCCCCGGCTAGGGGCCCGGTAAGGGAAGGCTTGAATCTGAACTACGAGAACGGTCTCAGAATCGTCAGCTTGCAGTTCTTGTGGCCCTGCCTTTAAAAAATATTATTGTCTTTTCAAGTATACATTTGGCTGGGCGTGGTGGCTCACGCCTGTAATCCCAGCACTTTGGGAGGCCGAGGCGGGCAGATCACTTGAGATCAGACATTCGAGACCAGCCTGGCCAACACGGAGAAAACCCGTCCGTCTCTACAAAATATACGAAAATTAGCCTGTCGTGGTGGTGCGCGCCTATAATCCCAGCTTCTTCGGAGGCTGAGTCAGAGAATCGCTTGAACCTGGAAGGTGGAGGTTGCAATGAGCTGAGATAGATCCAGCCTGGGCGACTGAGTGAGACTGTGTCTCAAAAATAAATAAATAAATAAATAAATAAAATAAAGTGCACATTCAAGATAGAAAACATAAGGTCCTCCAGAGTCCCCAGCCATCCCTGTCTCCCAGAGATCATTGTGATTGATGAGTGTCTGGGGTGTCTGCGTGCTTGTGTGGATGCATAAAATATGTGGTGCTCTAGGGCTCATAATATTCTGCTGTGTGCGGTTTTTCTCTTAGCACTATGCAAGAATATGTTTACTTGTATTTTTTAATGGCTGCATAATATTCCATCTTAGGAACTGATGAGTCATGGAACCTCTGGAAGTATAAGGCTCCTTTCCATTATTTTTTATTACTGAGAGGTGGACTTTGGCTGGATCCCCTCCAAGGTCTACCCCAACGTGTCCGGAGTCTGCAGAGCCTTACTTGATGTTACCTGTAGGTCCTCTCTAGCAGCAAAAGTATCTACTGTGTGTTTCATGGCCAGGACTAGCAGGGTACAATAGTGTTGTGGTTTTACAGTTAAGGTGTGGAAGTCCTCTGTGCCTTCCTTCTCCATTGTGCCTTCTGCTCCGCAGGGCAGGCATCCCTCATCGACCTCCTGGTTTCCAAGGGCGCCGTGGTAAACGCCACAGACTACCACGGGGCCACTCCACTCCACCTGGCCTGTCAGAAGGGCTACCAGAGCGTGACGGTGAGCAGTGGTGCCTTTGTGGTGGGCTGTCGCTTTGCACCTGTGAGCTTCGTGTTCTGCGCGGGTGACTGTACGGTCATGCTGGCTACCCTGCACCCGTCTCCTGGCACTGTGTCCTCGTACCACAGCAGCTCTGCTGCAGCAGTAGTCAGGAAGTCCAAGGACCCCGGGGTGTCCTGGGAAGACTTTCTGGGTCTCCTGGACAAGATCGTTAGGTTTAGATTTGAAACTTCCTGGTCGGACGTGGTAGCTCACGCTTGTAATCCCAGTGCTTTGGAAGCCCAAAGCAGGAGGATCGCTTGAGCCCAGGAGTTCAAGACCAGCCTGGGCAACCTAGGGAGACCCT